GCGGTTAAAAACAATCAAATATTTCAAAAACCATTAATTTGCGACGGAAATGAAGTTGATTTCGTGTTCAGCGCATCAATATTTAGTAGAAAACAGACAACTGGTAGCTGGGTATGAGACGGGAGGGAAAGTAAAAAAATACCTTCTTTTCTTCTCAAAAAACATTACATTCTAAGGGCGTTATGAATTTCCTCTCGGTCATCTCTTTGAAGTCAAAGCTTTTTTTTTTGTACAATCAAACGCATGCTTGCTTGTCCAAGTCAACACCTCCCTGTACAAAAGACAAAGACCGTTTCTGCTTTTACATCTGGTGCAGATGAGCAGGGACCCCCATGGCATATTACATCCTCGACCAACAGCTTGCGAGACTGGCCAGATTTAATCTCAAAGCTTGTTGAGTAGCAGCATTTTCCATCATTTGCCTTCTAATTCCTGCTTTCACTACTTCATTTTCCCTTTGCCTGGATGCTGGTCTACTTAGCTTTGATGACTTCCTCGCAGTGCTCATCACCTCGGCACTCTGTTGTGGAGCCAAACTGTTTGGGTTGGGTGGACTGGTGATGAGGTGATGCATTCCTGTGTTTGTTCCTCTGGAAGTCAATAAAATCTCCGAAGGCATTTTGTTCAACAAGATTGGTGAGTGGGTACTTGTCTGACGCTCCTCATGGATCACAGCCATCTTTCCTCCTTCCAAAAAGTTTCCAGTAGAGGGTCCAGTGAAATGTAGATGCATCAAGTCTAACGCTGTGACCAGTAACATGAGAACAACAGCAGTAAAAAAATGTTTCATTGTATTCCAGACTCTTAAAATTCCTTTGCTGTGTTCTTTTCACTCTTCTTACAATAAAATGTCGACTCCAGTTACTGGGAAAGGGGCTTTACTGTTACAGTACAGTCGTTTGTAACTTGCATTTTCCATGGTTGTCCCAAAATATACAACAATACTTTGCTTGACTTTTACAGGGTTCCACTTATAATGCTATGTCTTCTTCTTAACGTTCATCTCTAAATGGACATCCCAGTCTCTATCTAGTGGGAAGGCTGCTGTTAACTGCAGGTCTTCCAGACTCCTGTAGAGCTGCCTGCCTAGGGTTGGGCAAATTATTTCCTCCTAAGTGCCTCTTGTATGAAACTCTTGACTGTTGGGGGGGTGGGGGTGTTGTCTTACCTCTCTGTACTTTCTGAATTGTCCAGATCTAGTTTATATAGAGAGCTTATTAAATATTGCTGAGGTAAAATAACCTTAAGGGCCATTTCAGGAAAAATGAAACTGCAGTGACGCACATACTAAAATAACCTGCTGATTAAAAAAAAGCAATGGTTGAGTCCTGGGGGGGTGTTAGAGATAATCTTCCGCTACCAAAAAAAAAAATACCCAAAAACCCAAAAGTGGCTCCATCGCAGTTAAAAAAATTTAATTTTAGCAGGTCGTCATCGGCCTGCTACATGTGTGTCACTGCAGTTTCACTTTTCATGGAATGGCCTTTCAGAATAAACTTCCAATCTGGTGTGCAGCAAAAAGCATCTCTGTTTCTTTGAACACTTTTCAGTCACACATCCATCTGTATAAAATACCCAATCTGGTCACCCTGCGAGGAGAGGGACTGCAACGGACTTCTCCTTCAGGCGTGGCGCAAAAGTACACCAGGTGACCGGAACGGATAATTTTCACTGATTGCGCCAAGTGACTGCAAAATGTTAAATGCTATTACATTTTTCATGAGCCAGGAGAAGACATAAAAGTTCTCTAACAAACTGACTCTGGATTTCACCATATTTAAAAAAAATAGAAAACCCCCCCAGAAAATAATCGTTCACCCTTTTGTGTGCTTCATTTCATGTCATAATCACCATTTTTGTCACTGTCAGTCCAGGAGGAAAAGTTGAAGACCAAAATGTCAGAGGCGGATAAAGCTGTGCTGTCTCTGTGCGAAGAGTTCTGGCAGTGGCGACTGAAGGAAAGTCCTGAACTTGCCTCTTTCAGCGGCTTTCACCAGTACGATGACCAATGGGACGACATCAGCGAAGAAGCATACACACGACGAGATGTAAGTTAAAACTTTTATCTACCCTCTCAGTTTTATCTCTTGTGTGAAAAGAATCTATTTAAATTATTGTGGAGACAGAAAATAAAGAATGATGACTTAAGAAGAAAACCATAATGAAATTAAACTAAACTACTTTGGGCATATCAAAGGTCATGGTTTACTCAAGAAACATCTGGAAAGCAACTTAAAGGGCATTGCAAGAGAGGAATGGGAGACTTAACAGAAAATGGGAATACGACATGTACATAGAAATCTGGCTTGGAACTCAAACAACTTAAAGCAAGTAGAATGGCAACAGAGTGTTTTTGCAGAAAGGTCCAAGAAGCAGTATCCAATTACTGGAAAGGAATATTGTGGGCTAGCTGTTCAAAGTTTTGAAAATTGTTTATTGCAGTTTCTTAATCTGCAATAGTAGTTGCATGAGCTCAATGGGCGTAAATATCTTGGAGGTCCATGTTGACATTGAAACTCTAAACTTTGAAAAAAAAAAAAAGCATGAAAAATGCATCGTTTGGGTACAATTTTAAAAAGAATGAATCAGTTGTTCTCTCTCCTGAAATATTTAAATTTTGCACTCTGAGTTTCGATAAAAATGCTGACTATCAAATGTGAGTTATTTTGAGTAAAAAAAAGTAGAAGGTAACACTACCAGTTGTAGATTCTGTCCAGCTTCATTTTCTAAGGTGATTAAGTTTGTTTGTATATTTCTATAAGTTCTATGATGTCTATCTATATTCTCTACATTTCTGCCCATTGTTTCTCTGTCTAGAACTGTGTACAAGAGTTTGTGAAGAAAGCCAAGGCCCTGAATGTCACAGAATGCAGCCCTGAAGTTGCCCTGAGCCACACTCTGCTGTGCGATGTCCTTGACCTTTACACCACAGGCTCACAGTTCAAGAGGTGTGACTTCTTTTCTTTTTTTTCTTTTCTCTTTAGTTCAGCTTATATGGGAACCTCCACTCTTATTTCAGTCCTATTAAAATTTGTTGAGGTTTGATAATGATGAAAATAATTGTAATAATAATTTGTTAATAATAATACACAACATTTTAAAATATGAAATTCCTTTCCAATTAATAATGCTCTTTGTGCTCAGCAGTCATGCACAATGGTACACGAAAGGACACAAATATGTGTTTTAATGTATAAATACATGTGTCACAGGGAAGTAATGACAGGTAAGTAGAGAAACAATTTAAAAATGTAGTTTTTAGAAAATATATTCATGGTAAAATAATTTTTTAAAAATAAGTAGAAAAACACTTGAGCAATGTGGAGCAGCCTTTTAAGCACATTTACCCATAAGACTTGATATCGACGATTTTGGATAAGTTTACTCAATTTGATCCATGTTACTGTTGAATTCTTATAGATATTGTCATGAGGTGATTGTTAATGCTTTTTTTTTGTTGGAGGGCAGAGAGACAAATGATTGTGGAAGGGGGGGGGGAGGGAAGGGTTCATATTATGCCTGGAAGTCTGAAGTTTGTATCCTGTATCGTAGTTTATGCCCTGCTGTGTTAGTTTTTCCATTCTCATCCATGATCTAAGTACATATCACACTATCACCAATCTTTATACATTGTGTCATTTTTCTTTCCTTTCATTTTCAGACTCTACCCAACCATTCTGCAATAATACCCATCTCTGTGACACCATCTAAACCCTGTAATTTTTCTGTCTTTTTCTTCTTTTTTTTTAGCCATTTATGTCCCATCAACTACCTAGAAGGAATTCACAAGGAAAGTAATTTGACCATCTCCTACATGAAGTTTCTGTCGGAGGAGGATTTTGACAAGTACATCTCTAGACTTGAGAAGCTTCCAAGCAGGGTATGGTGATGGAAAATTATTTTGGATTAATAGGCCTATATATGAGGCTTCGTGGTGAATTCAGGTGCTGGACAAAATACTGAATCGAAGAAACAGTCATTTTTCTGTCGGTTTTGAAATTTTTATTGAATTAGTGCTCGACAAAGTACTGAAATAGAAAAACAGTCATTTTTCTGTTGGTTTGGAAATTTTAATTGAATTTTTGTTCTTTGCCTCAAATGTCCAATTAAAATACACATTTATGATATGTGTGGATTTTACTGAAAAATGTTCTTGATCAATAACAATAACTGAAAATTTTTGAATAAAAGCACAAAATAATATGTACATTCTCAGTTTTCAAGGACTTTCAAGCTATTATAATTAGTTACCAAACTGGTGGTAATTTTTTTCCACTAATTTTACCTCTGAACCAAGTGACCCCCCCACCTCCTTCCATCGCAAATATCTCGACTTCTATTCTAGATAGATGGATATTTTTTTCATTGAAAGCAAGGTAAATGGATATGCTTTCAGATGATACCAATAATTCCATTTATGCCCAAAAATTGATGAGCACTTGATTTCACTGAAATGTTACAAGTGCTGTAAAGCTCCTACTACAACTTAAAAAAACCCATTTATCTCTCCTCTCTTTTGTATGTTACTCTTTAGTAGTAACACCTCTAAGCTTTGGCGATTACATTACCTTTTGGCATGACAAGTACTGAAAACCTTTCTAAAATCTAAAACCAAATATGGATTTTGTATAGATGTGCGTCTTACATTTCATGTTTTATAACAAACAAACCGTTTCTGAAAGACTTCAATATCTTTGCCTGAATCGTGTCACATTGTTTTCCAGATTCAGCAAGTGACAGCCCTGCTCAAACGTGGTGTGGAGGACGGTGTGGTCATGTACAAGTGTTCTGTGGTAAGTCTTTAGTTTTAGTAAGTGTTTTACGGCACTTGCAACACAATAAGGTCATATAAGTGCCGAAGATTAGAGGTGTTACAAGAGAGTTATTAACTTACTTCTTTCAGGTGGGAATGGGTACCAGACTGTTGACAGCAAACATTTTTGTCAGTTTGTTAGTGCCTGAGCATTTATTTGGCAGTTTGCACTTTATGCTTCCTGGGAAGTAGAGACTGTTTCTCAGTGTTCTAGGGTCTGTTGGGGTAATGCATGTACATTGTAAAGCACATTAAGCTTGCTTTTGAGCAGGGATATATGCTATACAATTGCTATTTATTATTATATCATTATTATGTTGCAATTGTTCTGAATCTTTCATGCTCCCATTGACACAATTTAGGTTATCTAGGAGGCTTTCTGCTTTTTGTTTTTGTTTTGATAAATGTTTTGTGGCGCTTGCAACTGGTTAAGGTCATAGTCATATGAGCATGCGGGACACATTAAACATTTTCAGTTTGGTAGGAATTTTGAATTTTACTTTGGTGGTGGCCGAAGCTTTTTCTGATCGATTTTAGGACCACCAAGGGATCTTTAATGTGCGCAACTTGCACACGGGACCTCCAAGATATTTACGCCCATGCTCTTCGCGGACTTGCTGATGCTGAAGAAAAGTCATGAACTTTCGAAACGGTATTTGAAAATAGTAATGAGAACAAAGCCCATAAGTCAGCTAGAGAGATCTTTACTAAGTATTTTCAACATTGTTGTTGCAGGTCTGCTTTGAAAAGCTTGAATTTATTGTATGCACATAAGTGTTTAAGAAGGGTCTGGAGGAGGGGGCGGGGCTACTTGTTCAGTGTCCACCATCTGGATTTGTCATGTGTTTGAAGGATGTATTTTGGTTTTGAAAAGTTGGCAGCTATGCATCTGTCAGCTAATGTACACTGTCACTTGTAGTACCTGTATTTGTGTCGCTTTAAAAGTGACACTTTAAAACTTTTTCTTTTATGTTAGAGTGATGCTACATATCTTCGATTCATTTTTTTTTTTACTTGTTAGAATGGCCACATATATCTATACAGATCTTTTATCTAAACTTTGTTATGTAGGTCTCTATGAATTCAACTGTTATTCATTTTTTTTCTGTGTAATTTTTTTTCCCCCCGCTGATTCCCCCACCAACTTCTTATGTTTCTTTATTTTTTCCTGAAAAAGACCACACAGATGATATGAGTTATTTTTTACTGTCGGTTCGACTGCTCTGTTGGCAGCCTGTCTAAAAC